CTTCCCTCCCTCCCCCCACCCCTCCATCCCTGCCTTGCTAGCAGGCTCAGTAGAGAAGACTCCCCGTGTACCACTAAAGTTGGTTCCTTCGGGTCAGGGTTTTGGTACTTTGGCTGAGTTCTGTGGGTAAGCTGATATGGCTATTGTGCCTGTTTGCACACTAGTCTCCAGGGCTGTCCCTCACAAGCACTAAATTCATTTCAAAAATGTAAAACAAAACATAGATTTCCAAGTGCTTTTGTTTATATGCGTGTACCAAAGCATCTGCTACTACTAGTTCTCTCATAGAGGATGGAGCTACCATAGTCTGTGTGTGGGTGGGTGGGGGGTCATGTCTTCTCTTTCCCCTCCAACTTTCCTATTTAAACTCTGAAAACTGTGTCTCTTCTACTCAGACTTTGTTCACACTAGCAAGTTGTACCTGTATAGTTAAAGCAGTACAATCTCTCTTAGTGCAAATGCAGTTATTCTGGTACGAAGGTGCCTTCCCATAAGGGTAGTTCTTTATAACATCTTCATACCAGAATAACTGCATCTGCACTAGGGACTGTAGCAGTATACGGTTAAAAATAAATTCGCATCCCTAACTGACATAGTATAAAAACTCGGTAGATCAGGCCTCAAAGGTACTGTAGCTTTGAGGAGGTCTTGTCTGTGATAGAGAGTGCCAGTATCGATCCATTGACAATGCAAATGGTTGTGGATTGAAATCCACAGCAAGACCTGAATTCACTTGATGTTGACATTTTAGGACTATATTAGGGTTAGAGACTGCCCTGTCAGACAGGTACCCCAATGACACCCTCTTATTTGTTCAACACATAAGAGCCTTACAACACAGTCTTCCTGACAGATTTAGCCAGTGAAGCTGTACCAGAGAAATTTCAGTAGTGGGGCAGGTCAAAACAGCTGAGAAAATTGTGTTAGCATGAACTTGCCAATAGGTGATTGGAATCAAAAAGTCTGTGTGCTAAATGCTGTAGCATTCAGATTTTTATTGTATCTGTAACGACACGAAACGCAACCCTCCCGTTTTGCAACTGGGTACGGTTTCTGCCATGCAACGTGACACTTTGTGAAACAGTTTAACGCCGCTACACCTGCCGGATGGTGCCACTTACATGGGGCTCCGACAGCCAGAGAGAGCCCATCCTCCTCTCCCCTGCAGCAGAGATCACTCCCTCCCTCCCTGCATTCACAGATCGCCTCCGGCAGTCTGGAGCTCCTCCCCCGCTCCTCAGCATGCCAGGACGAACGGCTCAGGCCGTTCTTGAGCAAGCTCACAGAGACATTAGGCGAAGGCCAACAACAAGGGAGCCAGGGGGTCGGAGAAGGGGCAGGGAGGTTCTGGAGGGGGCAGTCAAGAGAGGTGGGGGGTTGGGAGTTTGGGGGGGCTTTCTGGGGTGGGGTGTGGATAAGGTTTTGGGC